TCCAGCTCCACTTTGAAAACAGGGAATTTTCAGCCCTTGAAGAGTTACAGCAAAGAGGTACTGCCAAGGGGAAGAGCAAGCCTGGGCCGCTCTAGCCCCTCGCAGCCACGGGGCGCACAAAGCTGCCCCTGCAGGCACCTGCTGGGCTCTCACCTGGTTGATTTCCAGCTGCAGCCTCTCCGCCTCCTCGTCAGTGAGCTCCTTGATGCGCGGCTCGCCGGGCTGCGGGCACTCCCTGGCCCTGGCCCTGTCCCTGTCCCTGGCCAGGCGGGCAGCGCGCTCGGCCTTCTCGCGCCGCTCGGCCTCCTGCCGCGCCTTCTTCTCCCGGCGCTCCTTCTGAGCCAGCTTGTTGTGGTGGCTGAAGGCCTCTGTGATCAGCTGGGGACAGGGGCACAGGGGTCAAACACCACCCCTGCTACACCTGAACCACCACACAGGGTCAAACACCACCCCTGCTACACCTGAACCACCACACAGGGTCAAACACCACCCCTGCTACACCCGAAACACCACACAGGGTCAAACACCACCCCTGCTACACCTGAACCACCACACAGGGTCAAACACCACCCCTGCTACACCTGAACCACCACACAGGGTCAAACACCACCCCTGCTACACCTGAACCACCACACAGGGTCAAACACCGCCCATGCTACACCTGAACCACCCCGCTCAGTCTCCCGAGGAGCACAAGAACAACTGCTGAGTCACACAGATGTTGGGAATCTTCCCTTCATCTTCCTTCAGTTTTTTGGATTGGAAATCTAGAGATTTTTCAATTCAAAAAGCAGAGGAGGAAGTGAAAAGGGAGGAAAAGGGGAAAATTTGAAATATTGAAATGTAGTCCGTCCTAGTCACGCAGGGAGTATGTTTCCAGGAGATAACAGTGAAATAAAATCCTCCACTAATTTTGTCCTTTGTGCAATTCCAGCAGGACGAGCTGATGCCTAATCCAGCCACCTGAAGCTACTCCATACCTCCAGGACAGCTGGACACACCAGATCCAGCTTCTTTACCTACTTCTGACCTTTCTGTGGGCTTTTCTCCAGATGGAGCCTCAGTGCCACGATTTGGAGGAGAAATGCTTGAAACACTTATTTTTACACGGAGGGGTGAGTTCCTCCATACAGCCTTTGTTTCAGCCCTGCTCCCAGGTCTCTGAAGGTTCTTGTGGCTCTGGGAGTCAGTCCCAAGGTCTGGGCTGCCAAGGGCCTCGTGCTCAGGGAAAGCTGAGTACACAGGCAGGGAGCCAGAGCACTGCCCCAGGCTCGATAAGGCCAGGGCTGCTGTGCACAGCAGCACGTAGGTGAGCTGAGGTCTGCCCCAGAAAACAACAGGGACACATCCTCAGACAGGAATCACAGGGGCAACATTTATTTATATATTTATATATCCCAGGAGTTTCGGGGTGGGAGGGAAATCCAGAAGTTTTTCCAAGCAAACTGCAGTTTGTAAGCAAACACTGAGTGTTTCTGCCTGGCTTTAGGAGCAAGGATTGTTTACACAGCAGCACGTAGGTGAGCTGAGGTCTGCCCCAGAAAACAACAGGGACACATCTCAGACAGGAATCACAGGGGGAACATTTATTTATTTATACATATCCCAGGAGTTTCAGGGTGGGGGAGAAATCCAGAACCTTTTCTGAGTAAATTGCAGTTTGTAAGCAAGCACTGAGTGTTTCTGCTTGGCTTTAGGAGCAAGGATTGTTTACACAGCTCGGCCCCAGCGTGTCCTGGAGTACAGAATGCAAGATGTGCATCCCCCAGGATGTCCCAGCCCAGGTGAGGAAACCACCTTCAGTGCCTGAGCCTGTCCCTGTCACTGCCCACACCACGAGCCTGCTGAAACAACCCCCAAACATGCAGGGACCTTCCCACCCTCTCCTTTCTCCTTCATGCCAAGGGCTCAGCAGGGCTGGGGAAGCAGCTCCTTCCCTGTTTGTTGTGTTCCTGTGGTGGCAGAGCACTTTTCCAGGAGGCCATAAAGCACTGTGACAGATGCCACCACTGCCAAGGACAGCAGCCAGGCACCTCCGAGCTGCCACTCAGGTGGGATCACACAGCCTCCAGGAACAGGGGAGATCTGCTCTCTATTCCATAAAAAATGACAGTGGGGTTCACCTTTCTTTCTTTCTTTCAGAGAATCATAGGATGTTTTGGGTTGGAAGGACCTTAAACCCCTCCAGCTCCAGCAAGGGCTCCCTGCAGGAGAGGGGATGCTCTGTCCAGGCTGCCCAGCCCGGCCAAGGGGCAGCTGCATGTGCAGAGCCCTGGACTTTGTGTTTTTCCTGGCTGAGCAAACAAGGTAATGGGGGTTATCACCTGCTGTGTCACTGCTAAATCAGTGTGTCTGGCAGGTTTACTCTCCAAACTAGCCTTTGGCCAGAGCCTGGCAAGAAACCTGCACTGAGGTACCATCCCTGATGGGAATTGGGTATCCCTCACCTCACAGGGGCAGCTCTGGGTCTCCTTCCCTCGGGAGCTGCTGGTGGAAGGGATGGAAGGGAGAAGAGCTAAAGGCCTGCAGGTTTATTTTTTTACCTTCTCTGCTACTCCGTCCTCTCCCCCGGTGAAGAAATCTGTCTTCCTCCTCAGGAAGCTGAAGAAGGTGTTCACGAGCTGGGGAACAGGGTGGAGAGAGAGGGAGCAGTGAGCCCAGGTCACTGAGAGGCACCTCGTGTCCCTGGAGCAGCCTTTATCCTTTGTCCTCCCTATCTGTGGCTGTGCCAGCAGTGCCCTGGAATCAGCCCCGTGAGTGCTGCCTCCAGAACACTCAGCTGTGCACATCCAGCCTGGATTCCTGCACAGAGGGCTTGGGGTGCTTTGCTTGAAGGCAGCAGCTTATTCCCAGCTCCTGCTCCCATGCCCCAGGCCGTTATCCCAGGCAGGAGTGGATTTGTGCATGCATACATATCCCATATGTATATATATATATATATGTATATGTAATGTTTGGCTTCTTTGCCCACCTAAAAGCATGCAAACTCCTTATTTTTACAGCCGCCAGGGACCACTGATGCATGACATAGCACCTCCAAATCCCCTCTGGAATCCCAGATTCTCCTTGAGCTTGGCTGATCTTTATTTCCCAGGAATCCTGTCCCATACGGGTTTCACTCTGAGGTTTTGCCACACGAGGGGCATTTTTATGAATTATTTCTGAGTGGGATGTGGGTGCGATGTTCCCACACCCTCCAGCCCTGCTGCCGGTCAGTGCCGGGATCCCGGAGCCCGCAGCCGGTAGGACCGGGGTGGGTGAGCAGATCCCGAGCACGGGGGGATCCCACGATCACGGCCAGGCCTCGCGGGGTTGCGCTGGGAAGGTGAACGGGGCAGCTCGATGCTATCCTATGGTGCTTTGCCTATCACCGGCACTGCCGCGCACCCGGGGCCCTCTCGGGGCACCGGGGCCAGGCTGTGATGCCGGGCCGAGGGCGCCTCATTCACACCGCACTAATTAACGAGAGGGGCCGGCCGTTATCGCCGCTCCGGGAGCGGCGCACGTGCGGCCCCTGCTCCACGTGCCGGGGCGGGGCCCGAGGAGGCCGGGCCGCTCCCCGCGCTCCCCGCTCACTCCTCCGCTCCTGCCCCGCCCTCCCCGCGCCCGCTGCCGGCGGCGCTACCTCGCGCACGCCGCCCTGGTGCTGCTGGGCCATGGCGAGCAGCATCCCGTCGAAGCGGTCCTCCTGCTCCGCCGCCTCCTCCGCGCTCAGCCCCATCGTGCTGCCGCTCCCGCACCGGGCCGCCACCGGAACCGGAACCGGCGCCGGCGGAAGCGCGAGGCCCTCCCGGCCCGCCAATCCCAGCGCGGCCCCGCGCCGCCCTCTTCGCTGATTGGTCACCAGGGCTGTCAATCTAGCAGGGAAGGGCGGGCCGCGAGGCGCGGCGGGGTAGCTATGGCGACGGACCGGGCGGGCTGCGGTACTCGGGGCGCGGGAAGGGCCCGGACCGGGCCTGGCCCGTCCTGCCGTGGAGCCGGGGCCAGAGGGGCCTCCTGAGCCTCCTTTACTCCAGGCTGAGCCCCACTGCTCCCTCAGCCGCTCCTGGTGCTCCATCCCTTCCCGGTTCCGTTACCCTCCCCGGACACCTCAATGCTTGTATTGCAGTGAGGGGCCCAAATTGGGCACAGGCCTTGAGTGCGGGTCCACCCCAACAACCATTGCCCACTTTGGCTCATGGTCAGCTGCTGTCCACCAGCACCTCTGGGTCCCTTTCCACTGGGAAAATATGAGAATTTTGGCCTTTTTTCCATACTTTTCTCTCATTCAGCAAATGGGAGTGTTTTCCCTTTCCCAGCCCTGTGTTTCCTCTGAGAGACACAACCCCTGGGCTGTGTTTCTACTAGGACAATATGAGAATTTTGGCCTTTCTTCTATACTTTTCTCTCATTCTGCACATGGGAGCGTTTTCCCGTTCCCAGCGCTCTGACAGACCCAACCCCTGGGCCCATCACAGCCTGCTCAGGGTTCACCAGGTTCCTCTTCCTGCACCACAACAAGCGGCTCCCGAGCAAGGCCAGGCAAACAGCTGCTGATAACACAACTTCCAGGTTGCTGTTGCCAAGGCCGGGCGCCGGGGCCGTTGAACGCCGGGCTCAGACGAGCGCTCCGTGTTTGTCTGTGAACCCTGGCAGCGACAGCTGCCCGATGGGGCCTTGGTGCCATGGTACAGCCTGAGCTAATGACTCTGTTTATCCTGTTTGGGTAATCCTGATAAGGCCACACAACCCCTCCCCGCCGATTCATTGAGAAAAACGGCCGTTGACCGCGCCTGGCCCGGCCAATCCACGCAGCAGCAAAGGGGTTGGTCGGCTGGTTTAATGAGGGCTGCTTAATCAGGGCGGTCAAGGCTGCCGAGGGGTGTTCACTGTGACCCGGCCTTATAAGAGCTGGCTGGAGCAGCCAGGGGCTGGCAGGCCTGGCAGGACAGGGACAATCCAGCCCGGGACGTATCTTGGAAGGGATTTTGTGTCTCTCTCGACGAGGAGCTGGCTGAGCCATGAGCTCCAGCGTGGATTCAGGCTGTGAGCGGTGCCGGTGCCACGGCAAGGAGAGGCAGCCCGCCATCCTGTACACGCTGCTGAGCCAGGAGCTGCGGCCCCGGCAGCAGTGCCCGTGCCGGCAGCGCCGCGCCGTGTGCCTGCGCTCGCCGCAGCTCACCTGCCGCGCCGCCTCCCACGTGCTGCTCAAGACCATCAGCTTCGTCAAGAACGTGGCCGCCTTCCGCCTGCTGCCGCAGGAGGACCAGCTGCTGCTGCTGGACAGCTGCTGGGTGCCGCTCTTCCTGCTGGGGCTGGTGCAGGAGATGGTGACCTTCGAGGTGATGGAGGCGCCGGCGCCCAGCATGCTCAAGAAGATCCTGCTCAGCGGGCAGAGCAAAGGGCAGGAGCCCGAGGGGACACAGCCCACGCTGGCGGCCGTGCAGAGGCTGCAGGGCTGCCTCAACAGCTTCTGGAGGCTGGACCTGAGCCCCAGTGAGTTCACCTACCTGAGGGGAGCCATCCTCTTCAATCCAGGTGAGTGCCAGGCCCTCGTGGCTCTGCTGGGCCCCACTGGCAGCTGGGCACAGAATCACAGTGTCCCAGAGCCACTGAGGCTGGAAAAGATCTCCAAAACCATGGAATGCACCCTGTGCCACTCCCCATCAGCCCAGAGCACTGAGTGCCATGTCCAGGGATGGGGACCCCACCACCTTCCCAGGTGAACACAGACCTCATGGCCTGGAGATGCTCAGAGATGGGCAGGTGTGAGAGCAGAGAGGGCTGGTCACCTTTTCCCTATCTCTGGCCATTCCCAAATGCACAGGGAAGCAGGAGGGAGGGATGTCACAACCTTTGCCTGCCCTGCAGACAATAAATCCTGGATTCCTTTACTTTTAAAGCATGACTTTCCCTGTTAGCTGCTGTCCCTCCCTCACCCAGCATCCCTGGAACAGCGGTGCCTCTCCAGCGCTGTGCGCATCCCCTCTGAGAAACGGGGAGGGGTGGGAATGGGAGAAACCTGGCTCTGTTTGCCATCCCTGACCTTCCTGTCCGTGTGCTGTCCCTCGCAGACATCCCGGGGCTGCAGGCTGCCCTGTACATCGAGAGCCTGCAGCGGGAGGCGCAGCGGGCGCTGCGGGAGCTGCCGCACCCCGAGCACCGGGAGCGCTTCCCGCACATCCTGCGGCTCGCCGCCTCGCTGGGCTCCGTCCCCGCCGCCCTGGTCACGGCGCTCTTCTTCCGGCCCGTCATCGGGGACGCGGCCATGGGCGAGCTGCTGGCCGAGATGCTCTTCGAAGTGTCGGGCTGGCCGCGGGCGCCTTGGCCGCCCCTGCCCCGCTGAGCCGCGACACGGGACAGGAACGCTCCGGACCTGCGGGATCCTTGTGCCACTGGAGCTCGGGACCTGCGGGATCTCTGTGTGCCCCTGGTGCTCTGGACCTGGGGGATCTCTGTGTGCCCCTGGAGCTCTGGACCTGGGGGATCTCTGTGTGCCCCTGGACCTCCGGACCTGCGGGATCCCAGCGGGATCTCTGTGTGCCCAGGCTGGAGAAACCCTGCGGGATCTCTGTGTGCCGCGGAGCCCGGGCTGGAGCAGCCCTGCCGAGGCAGCTGAGGCTCAGCAGGCTCACAGCAGCTCCTGCTCTCCAGCCCGGGCAGTGTGAGTGGGCAAAGGGTTTCTTGCCCTGCTCCCGGTTTTTGCTCATTTTGCTGTGAGCTCCAATCAGTGAGGGTTGTGCTCAGCTTGATGCCGTGTGTCTGACAGTGATCCTCAGTGGGATCACTAATTATGGAATTGGCTCTGGGCCTGGCTTCCATGCTTGGACTCTTAGAAATGCTCAGGACATTTCTTCAGGGAAAAAGCCAGTGTTAAATCCTACAGGGTGGACAGACTCACCCCTCTTTTCCTTAGATTCTCTCTTTCCTCTGTAATTCCATGAAATGCAACAGGATTAAGAGCACTTAGCAGCACCTAAACCTACTGCACCTCCTGTGGGGCTCTGGGCTTTCCTGTCTGTGTGAAAACCTAAACCCGAGCAGAGCTGGTTTAGTGGGAGATCCAAACCTCCCTCCCTGGACACAGAGCCAGGTGCACACCTGGAAAACTTGCTCCTCCTGCCTCCAACAGGTGAGGTGTCAGTATTTTATGTGTACATTCGTGTGGTTTGTATATAAGATGCAATAAATTATTTTTTTAATAAAATGTTTGGCGTTTTGGAACACAGTGGTGCCCTTCTAACGATGGTGTTGAATTTGGGGTGGGCAGAAAAAAACTGCAGGCATGGAAAAGATAGAATGGAATAAAAATGGATTTTCCATCTGCCAATGCAGACAGGAGGCTGAACCGGGGGGACAAGACAAGAGCCCTGGCCTGGGGTGAGGAGGGCAGCCCGGAGACCCCCGGAGACCCCTGGGGGCTGTGGAGTCTGTGACCCCCGGGGGCTGTGACCCTCAAAGCCCCGAGACCCCGGGGGTCTGGCCAAGCCCTGCTGCTCCCGGGCCTGTTAAACCCCCCCTCAAAGGGGGATCTTGGTCCCCAGCCCCTGTGATCCCCCAGGATCTCTCTGTGACCCCCCCAGCCCCTGTCCCCAGCCCCTGTGACCCTCCCAGGACGCCCCGCCTGCCACGCGCTCTCCCGCCACAAGGCGGCGCCCTCCACCCGCAACGTCATCACTGCGCGAAACGTCATCACTGCACGCGTAACGTCATCACCGCGCGCCAGCACAGGCCAAGATGGCGGCTCCCAGCGGTACCGGCGGCGATGGCGGCGCGGCCCGGTACTGCCTGGTGAGCGGCATCCCGGCCGCGCTCCGCTCCGCGCAGCTCCGCGCCTACTTCAGCCAGTTCCTGGAGGCCGGCGGCTTCCTCTGCTTCCACTACCGGCACCGTCCCGAGCGCCCGCCAGCGGGCGGCGGCGGCGGGGCCTCGGCGCCGCGCACCTGCTGCTGCCTGGTGTCCGTGCGGCCCGGCCGCGCCCGTCGCTTCGTCCGCATGTACTCGGGCAAGCGCTGGCTCGGGCCCGGCGGCACCGCGCTGCCCGGCCGCTGCCTCATCCGCAGGGTCCGCCTGAGCGCCGGGACAGGTACGGACGGGAGGGTCCGGGAACAGCACCCTCGGGCACCGGGTGGTTAAAGCTCCTCCTAGGAGTTCCTTACCGCTTTAAATCTGCTCCGAGGCAGGAAAAGCCCGTGTGGGCTCTGCTTATCCCCCTGCTACTCGTGAGCTCCTGGATTTACATGCCCTCGGTGGGGTGTGGGACCCCCCCCAAACCGTCCCTGCTCTCTTATGGCCCCCAAAACCATCCCTGCTCTCCTGTGGGCCCCCCCAAACCCTCCCTGTTCTCCCGCAGGCCCCCCCAAACCCTCCCTGTTCTCCCGCAGGCCCCCCCAAACTCTCCCTGTTCTCCCGCAGGCCCAGAGGCTCCTCCCAGTCCGGCCGGGGCTGCCGCCGGCCCGGCGGTCACGGAGGCGGAGCTGCGGCGGCTGCCCGAGCTGAACCCGCCCTCGTTCATGCCCCGCGGGAACGTGGGCACCCCCCTGGGCGTGTTCCTGGAGCTGATCCGGGCCTGCCGGCTGCCCCCCCGAGTCATCTCCCGGCTGCAGCTGGATTTTCCCAGGACGGGCTCCTCCCGCAGGTATGGGAACGTGCCCTTCCAGTACCCCGGCACCGACACCGTGCCTGAGGAGGAGCGAGTCTACACGGCTGCAGGGGATGAGATCACCGAGGGAGAGGAGCCCGTGGGGCTGACTCAGCCTGCCCAGCCCCAGGAGGATGAGGAGGGGCAGCAGCAGGAGGAAGAGGAGTCAAACTCGGATGACGTAAGTGGAACATTCCAGCACCGTCCTGTGGGCTGGGTTGTTGGAGCTGTGAGGGCAGATCTTACTCTCTGAGCTCATTTTTCATCTCTTAGTTGGATAAGTGGCATGTTAAAACCAGCTGTAAAATAGGATTGATCACCCCTTGGTGCACTGAGCCCCTCAGGGCAGGGATAGGGGCCCTGAGCCCCCCAGAACTACTCAGGGGGTGGTGGGAGTTGATCCCAAAGGCTCTGATCCGAGGAGGAGCAGAGGGGAGGCTGGTGCTGCCCAGCAGGTCCTGCCCTGGTGCCTGGCAGATGGGGAGGCAGAGGCTGGGCTGTGTCCCCAGCTCCATGCCAGGCTGTTCTGTGTCCCCTGCTCCATCCCACCACGTTGCTGTGCTGGGATGACGTGCAGAGCTGCACAGAGGGCTGACCTCGGCTGCTCCTGCACTGGGGAGCACTTTAGTCACTCTGGGGAAAATGGCTTTGGTGACAAAGGCTCCAGGAGAACTGGGCAGGGCAGGAGCCATCCCAGCCCTGTCCCTGGCAGACGCCTGTCTGGCCTGTTCTCCAAAGCTCTGTCATTACAGATCCCCAGGCAAGCCATTCCCGTTCTCTGCTCCGCCAGAATTAACTCAGATGTCAAATCTCTGCTGCAGCTGCACCCCATTCCTTTCTCCTGGCAACGTGGGGCACAGGGACTCTTGTTCCCTCCTTTTCCCAGCTTTTTATGCAGCCTTTCCTTCTGCAGACTAAACAGACTCCTCCAGCTGTTTCTCCCAGGCTGTTCCTTGGCTGGGCAGTGGCTGTGCCCAGGACTGGGCAGGCAGCTCTGTGTCTGTGCCAGGAGTTGCTTCCTGGAGCCCACGTAATCTCCAGGGATCAGCTGCCCTGGAATGAGCTCCCTGATGGTGCTGACTGAGGTCCAACAGCCCTGCTCCTTACATGGGCATCAGCTGGGGCCCCTGGGCTGGGGCTGCTCTGGGATTTCTCCTGCTGACTCTGGCAGGGCTCTGAGTCAGGGATGAGCTCATCCCTCGTGTTGGGGCCTGAGCAGAGCTGCTCCAGGGGAGGGCGGTGGGACGGGGCAGGGAGCAGGCTGAGCTGCTGTCCCCAGCTCCATGCCAGGCTGAGCTGCTGTCCCCAGCTCCATCCCAGATTGTCCTTGCAGGACAGTGACATTTGTGAGGAGGGGGCTGTGCTGTGTCCCAGCCCCATCTCACACCATGCTGTCCCCCACAGGACAATGACACGTGTGAAGAGTGGCAGCGGGCTGTGCAGTGTCCCAGTGCCATCTCACACCATGCTGTCCCCCACAGGACAATGACACGTGTGAGGAGTGGCAGCGGCACGCGGCGCTGCACGAGGATGTGACGCAGCAGGAGCGGCTGCGCGAGCGGCTCTTCGAGGAGGAGATCGAGCTCAAGTGGGAGAAGGGCGGTTCCGGCCTCGTGTTCTACACAGATGCCCAGTTCTGGCAGGAGCAGGATGGAGGTGACCCTGCTGTTTGTGTCACCCAGCCCACGGGCCAGCTGAGCCTTCCCTTGGGCACTAGGCTGAGACCCCAGCTGGCAGCCCCTGGCGTGGGCAGTGGGTTTGGGGGGCCTCTAGGGCCGTTTCCTCTGTGCTGGCACTGCTGAGGCACCACCCTGAGTGCAGAGCTGTGTCCAGAGACATGGAGGGGCTGGGGAGTGCCCAGGGCAGGGGCTGGAGCTGGGGAAGGGGCTCAGCCTGGAGCAAGGAGGCTCAGGGGGGCCCTTGGGGCTCTGCACAGCTCCTGACAGGAGGGGACAGCTGGGGGGGTCAGGCTCTGCTCCAGGGAACAGGGAAAGAGCTCCCCTGTGCCAGAGCTCACCCAAAGTGCTGCTTCCCTTCTCTTGGCAGACTTTGACGAGCAGACTGCCGACGACTGGGACGTGGACATGAGCATCTACTATGACAAAGGTATGAGAGCTGAGCCACCCACCCCAGGGCAACCAGGGAACTTCTGACCATGCACAATTCGGGAGCTCTTTGTCATTCTTTGAAAGCACCCAAGCTGTCAGTGAACCTGAAACAGTGTTTTTCTGGTCTGGCAGCAAGGCTTGCCAAAAAGAACAGGTTCTGCCTCTTGTGCTGGTGCTCTGGGGAGCACGCTGGTGGTGCCCAGGCTGGCTGAGCTGGGCTGTGCTGACTGTGGCTGCTTTGTCCCCAGATGGAGGGGACAAGGACGCTCGGGACTCGGTGCAGATGTGGCTGGAGCAGCGGCTCCGGGCCGGGCTGGAGGATGGATCAGTGTCAGGGCAGCACATTGGCACCTTCGAGAGGCACACCAAGGTGGGTGAGCTCTGCCTGCCCCTCAGGGCAGGGCAGGAGGGCTGGGCCCACAGGATGGGGGCAGGAGGAGGAGGAGGAGGAGAGGAATTGGCCATGGGGGGATGAGGGTGGGATTTGTCCAGCAAGTCTGTGATGGCTTTTTCCTCTCTCCCAGGGCTTTGGCAGGAAGGTCCTGGAGCAGCAGGGCTGGACAGAGGGGCTGGGCCTGGGCAGCAGCAACTCTGGCA